AAATAAAAAATTTAAGTTCATTGAATTTATTTTAAAAATTTTTATAGGATTTTTATCCTGCGTGAATGATCTTATTATTTGTAAGGGTAGACTAGCAATTTTTTAAAATTTTCCTATACTGTTTGATTGCTTATTTGTATCAAATAGGTATTTTATATTCAAGCGCGCATACATGTGCAACAGCATGATCGCATGCAATTAAAGCAATCAAACAGTTTATGTAGGAAATTATGATTGAATGTAATATCTTGCTACCTAATAATATATTCGAGATGAGGTTAAAATATTGAAAATTTTAAGTGTCAATATAAAAAATTAAGAGTTTATTTTTTTCAACTTATTAACGAAAATATAAAATTTTGTTTACAATTTCATTTTTGCTGAATATGCAGTGGAAAAATACAATCTTTAAATTTAAACCCAAACAAATTGAGTAATAAATAAAAAAAATTAATAGCTTATGACTTATGACTCATATGAGTAGAAAAACAATAATTGATTATGTTTATAATATTTTAGCATAGATAGTAAATAAGCTGGACTAAATATAAAATAAATAATTTTAAGAGAGTACAAAGTCTATTATAATCAGATAAATATTTGTAAAAATTAAAAAAAAAATGAAAAACAAAAAATATATTTAAAACAATTAAGTATACAATGGCTTTTCTTTTTATGCTTTTTGAAAAAAAAAATTGTTGATAAAAATATTATTTCGGAAAATACCCATGCAAAAAAATAAAAATATTTTTTGTTTTTTTGGAAAAATGCCATTTTTTTTTTTTGCTTTTACTTATCAGAAATTTAATGATATTGGAAATTCAATTTGTTTAATGGAAATTTTTTTCGGAAGTTTAATAATTTTGCAAATTTATAATATGAAAAACTATATGATGTACATACGTTATACGTATAACATAAATTTGCACGCATATTATAAGTAACTTCATTTGGTATACGTAAAGTGGTATATATAGGAAATAATTCTTATAGTGATTTAAAAATTAAAAATTAACCTTTCAGATTTAGATCGACATTGGCTTCTTTCGACATAGTCGAAGTGATCATCATTTGATAAGTCAAATGACCGTAAGAATCTATTTGATAGTTTTGAAGATTGTTGTTGATTGTCATTTAATTTTATCGAACGCAATTTAAACAAATAAATTGTGATGATTTGGCCTCCTAATTTTTTGCAGTTGAACTTTACTTGAAGATTTCGAAAAGTTGAAGTTTTTTTTTTTTATCGAATCTTCAAAACGAAGATTTTATTTTGGAAGAATGAAAATATTTGGATTAATCTATTTGGCAGCAATGCTTTTAAATTTACTACTTTATAGACTGATGTAGTTTGCTGTTGTTTTGTAGCATAGAGCTATATTATTCTAATTTTTTATATTTAGAAGATTGTTGCAGATTCTTGCAGATTTTTGCAAATTTTTATAAATTAATTATACGAATTGAAGAAAAGAAAATGTTGTGAAGTTTAGAAGGAAATGGTGAGAGCAATTAATTAAATCGTGTTGTTGTTGAATAAATATTTGAAATTTTCATTGTGACTGGTATACTCGAAATATTAACACATAATATACTCCATTACCATGAAACAAATTTTTATTTCTAATTCTATTCATATCAGAATTTTATTTATTGTTTCACTTTAAGTATTTAATAATTTTCAAAACAAATTGTTTACTTTATATTCAAAACAATAAAGTATATTGTTTTTAACGATAAAATTACATCATCATATAATATATAACAAGTATATATATATATACAAGTAAATAAAAATTAGCCTTGATAATGATTTTCTAGATTTACAAAATAAGAAATTATGAAAGGAATAATTAAGTAGAAATGAGTTCATAATTTTTAAAAATATTTTAAAATATTTGAAAAAAAATATAAGAAATTCATTTATAATGAAAAATTTTTAAATTAAAAGCAAATTTAATTGGACTGTCAATGTTTGCAATTAGGAACAGATTTGGCGTTTTGCTTGAGGGTTAATCGAATCTTCACTGGGAGGTTAATGAGGTATATCATCACAGCTATTGTGAATGGATTGTTCGTGCTTTTCATAATTTTCACAAACTAAAATAGTAAAATTGGATTCTCATTTGTGTAGATTTTGGCGGAATGATGAGGAGATGGATGTACATATTTTGTTCTGACTGTTGCGCTCTACCCGTCAGAAGGCACAAATGATTTAGAAGGTCCTTTTAAGTATAAGGGAGCTCGTATCCTACTCCCAGAGGGATATCACCGTGTATTTACTTGGGATACTTGAATAGTATAAGTGAATGCGATATGGAACGACTACAATAAACCATGACAGGCTGCGTTGGTTTGAGGGAGGTGTTCTTTTGATAATTCAGGGGATTTCAAACTTTTCATGTTTGGAAATTATATAAAATTTTGATTTTACTATTTTTTAAAATAATTACGATTCTTTCTCTATCACAAAATATAAAATCAAAATAATCCTTTTCAATTATAACGTAATTAAAATCATCATTATTCTATTACTTATATATTTACTTTTAAACTCATTTAATATTTACTATAAATTTAATAAAATATTTATTTATTTATATTTTTGTTTTTCGTTTGTCTACCAGGGGCTTACCTTATTTGTCGTCATTTAATTTTGACACACAATTTTTTTAAATTTTTTTTTTTTTTGTTGTGTGTATATGTGTTTCAAATTATTGTTGAATTTAAATTTGATTAAAGTGTTTAGAAATCAAATAATTATTTTAAATAATAAATATAATTATAATTTATTAAAAAGGCGTCAACCAGTTTGTTAATTATTTGTAATTTAATTATTATATGTTTTTAATGTAAATAAATTTTTATTTAAGTACATTTACATTAATGCATTGATGTTATTTAGTATAATGCGCAGTATTATTATAATTGTAAATTTATTTGTATTTAATTTCTATATTAACTACAAAATTGTGAATTAATTTGTAAATATTGAATTTTACGATATTCGTTTGTTTATACAGCGAGACAATAATATAATTTTATGCAGTTATAGTAAACTGACACTGTTATAAGTCAGGAATAAGAGGTTTCCACTTAGCCTCTCCGCCGCACTTCATTGTTTTGTAGTAGCCTTAATTGTGCCCATGTTTTGTCCCTACTTTTGATCTTTTTTTCTATTGTTCTTCGCCATGTTGCTCAAGGCTTTCCCACCTCGCGTTTTTTCTCTGGTTTTAATTTTAGAGCCCATCTGGCAATTACTTCTAATGGCCTTCGTAAAGTATACATCGCCTCCATCTTCTTATCTGTACACTTACTGGTTTCTTATTGGATAGTGTCAACAAGACGGTATTCCCAATTCTTCTAGACCAGAAGATCTTACATACAATTCGTAGGAAATATCTAGAAAATAGGTAATTAGTATTTATGATTGACTTATTCAAATGAAAATTACGTATATGCAAATTTGAAATTTACTAGTTTCTATTTTGTAAAACGCAATTAAAATTACAAATTCTTAATTGCGATTGCGTTGTATAACAAATTGATAAATCAATAAATTTATATTTATTTAATAATATTGTATAACAATTTCAATTTATTATGTAATTCAAATGACATTTTATTATAATAATAATTTAGAATCACTTCTATTGTATGTATATACTTATATAACTTTCTATATATTCTATATTATTATTTAAAATTCAATATTTAAGTAATTTTAAAATTTGATTTGATGATAAAAATATGCATATTTTCAATTATTTATTCCGTAATATTATTTAATTTAATTTTATTTTTTTTATCTATTTGTTATATTAATTATTAATATAGATAGATTAATAGCAAAAAGGTTGTTTATTCGAATATAGTGTGATAATAGTTTTTTAATATAAAATCGACAAGTTTATTTTAAAATTTTGCAATTTTTTTTAAATTATATCATAGTTTCGCTAATTGATAAATTAAATTAGAAAAAAAAACTAAATATTAAATAATCATGCTTTGAATTTAAAATTATTACGGTAGTACATTTTCTATATCTTACAGCTAGTATAAGGTATAGAAAACTTTTATATTGACATTCAATTACAATTTATATCAGATCTCTCTTGATAATGGTATGGGAGTGCCAAAAAGTTTACATAAAATTCTTTTGTTTTTTTAGTATGAGAAATTTAGATATTTAAATCTCTCACACCTCTCACCTCGTCACTTTTCAGGCATTTCCTAAAAAACGTACATATGCCTCACAAGTTATGGAACCCAGGTTTATATTAAAATTTCTCATTTTGTATCCTGCCATGCCGTTATAGGGTACAATTTGCACTACCTCCAGTATTCGCCAGTCTTAAAAATTATTGTCATTTCTGTAAATCAAATTGCTATAGGCCAATTGAGTTAAAAGCAACCAATAGAATTGATAAAACACTTCAATTTTTATGTTACTGCGTTTTGTGTATAGTCAACCACATACTGGAATTAATTGTTTCTGTAATTGTTAACAAGAATTCAACTTAGACGCACTTATTTTAATTATTTTTACAAATATTTGTGAAGAACAAGAAGGGTATACAAAAATTTTATTATTCAAATATGGAAAATTTTCAAAATAAATTTAAGTATAATTTTTTTTTCCATTTCCTATATTGTATTTGAATTTGTATATATTCATGCTTATATACATGAATAAATTAAAATATATATTTTTCACTTTGTCTATTATGATTTTTATTCCAACCAAATTTGGTTACGAAAACGAAAAATTATTAATTATCGATTACTATATAGGTTGTTTTCATTATTGTTTCCGTATATTATTTAAAATTTATGATTTAATTCCTTTGATTTACATACATGTGTCTATATAACATGTACATATGTTAATAAAATTATATTTTTATAAATACAAGTACTCATGAACTTATTGATAAAATAAATAAAAAAATTTATTGTGTTTACATTTTAATTCTAATATTTTATTTTTTCTTATATTTCAGAGGTGTTAGCTCAACAGTACGCCGATGTATTTGTAAAGAAACTGGTAGAGAATATGCAGCAAAAATTATAGATTTAGGTGGTCTTAATGATAGTGATGAAATGAATCCACAAAGTATGAAAGAACAAACTAGACAAGAAATTGCAATTTTAAGACAAGTCATGGGACATCCGTATATTAGTAAGATATTAAGCTACTTAAATATAATAGATAAAATTGTATATAGAGAGAAATTAATGAAATTTTATTTTATTTTTAGTTGATTTACAAGATATTTTCGAATCGGATGCATTTTATTTTTTAGTATTTGAATTATGTCCAAGAGGTGAACTTTTTGATTATTTAACATCAGTTGTAACATTATCAGAAAAAAAGACTAGGCATATCATGCGGTAATTTTTATACAAAATTCTTTAAATTTCAAAAATAATGAAGAAGATGAAGGGATTATATGACATTTTTAAAATTGATAAATTTAATTTAATCGTATTACAGTGAGTCTAACAATAGTCATTTTAACTAGACCTTCATCCTCTTTAAATATTTTATTTACATTAATTAATAAATAAGTAATAATAATGTAAAATTAAAGTATACATTTATCATATTCTTTTTTATTTTTAGACAAATATTCGAAGGTGTAGAATATATTCATTCAAAAAATATAGTTCATAGAGATTTAAAGCCAGAAAATATTTTATTAGATGATAATTATAATGTTAAAATAACCGATTTTGGTTTTGCAAGACAATTACAAGATAATCAAAAATTAACTGGTAATTTTAATATAAAATTTTTCCATATTTATATTTTAAAATTATAATTTTTATTAAAATATATAGATTTATGTGGTACACCCGGTTATTTAGCACCAGAAACTATAAGATGTAGTATGTATGAAGGTTCACCAGGATATTCAAAAGAAGTTGATATGTAAATATTTATTTTTTTATATTCTATTAAAATTATATTCAAATTCAAAATAATGTTAATAAATTAAAATTTTTTTAAATGTATTTTAGATGGGCATGTGGTGTTATAATGTTTACACTATTAGTTGGTTGCCCACCATTTTGGCATAGAAAACAAATGACAATGTTAAGAAATATTATGGAAGGAAAATATAGTTTTACATCACCAGAATGGGCTGATATTTCAGGTATAGATATACTGATGATACGAAAAGAATATTTTCATTTATGAATGTCTAACCATAAGATTAATTAACGTACATATGCTAGAATAATTTAAATTAGACAGGATTAGATTTTAAATTTAGAATTTTAAGTTTCAATAAAGTAATCAATAAATTATAGGTTTTATTATTTAAATTAAATTTTGTAAAAATATTCAAAATTATTAGTATATGTATTTACTCAATTAATTTTTGGTTTTGTTTTTAATTTTTTGAAATTTATGTATTTTTGTGTTTATTTCTATGAAAATTTAAAAGGTTTGAATTCTTAAAGTTTATTTATAATTATTTATAGTAATTTTTGCAATTATTATTTAATTAAAAATTGAAGAAAAATTCTATTTAAATTTGTATTTTAAAAATTTTATAAAATTTTATACATTTTTGAATAAAATACAATAATTTCTAATAATGTAAATGTTATACTTATCAATACGAATAATTTATTCCAATATTTAATTAAAAAATACTATTAAAAAAAATAAAATTTTTATTGTATTTAAATCGAATTAGATTTAGTTAATCAATTAGATATAACTATTCGGTTAAATATAATTATGAGATTAATTTTAAAAAATTCCTATGACTCATATTTATTTTTAAATTTATTTTTTTTTTTTTTATTCTGACTAATAAAAATCAAATTTACTTTTAGATTTAAATTTTAAATTAGCATTTGGATAATATTTTGTCAATGTAATTTAAATTTTGATTAATTTTTCCAAATTTTTATTTTCTATAATTGCATTTAATTGTTTTTTCAAAACATTAAATTTTTTATTTGATTAATTTACTTATTTTAAGTTCAAATTTTAAGTAAAAATTTTATTAAAATTCAAATATTATTTAAGTATTTTTAAAATTGATAAATATTCAAGTTATTAAAGTTGACAAATTTTTATTTTAGTAACATTTAAATTAAAATAAGTAATTATTGTAAGTTAAGTTAATTAATTTAATTTCAAATATTGATTTAAATTATGATTTCATTCGAATATCATTAAAAAATTTAATAGTGATTTGATTATAGTAATAATAATAATATTTTTTTTTCTTTTTGCACCAATTTCTATTTTATAACTACTAAAAACTTAAGGATTAACTGATATTATTATTGCACTTACAAATATATAATTTTAATAATTTAAAAAAAAAAATTAATAATAATAGAATTGTAAGTTCTTATTTTAAATAAAATTGTAAATTTTTAATATATTTTTCATAATTATTATAATTTTTTTTTTAATTGTAAAGTAAATTATTTACTTATAGTAATCTTTTTATTTTGTTCTTTTGTAATTTTAGAGGATCCAAAAGATTTAATTAGGAAATGTTTAGTTGTTGATCCAGCTAAACGAATTACAGTCAGGGAAGTCTTAAAGCATCCATTCTTTAATCAAATGGTAAGATTTGTAATGAAAATAATGTTTGAAAATTTCGATTTTATTTTTTTAAAATCCCAGTTTCTTTTTTTTTCTTCTTCTACTTTATAAATCCTTTTTATATTATTTTTGTTTTCGGTATATAAATTTATTGTAATTATCAGATTTGTTTCATTTAAAAAATCTCTATAGAAAAAGAGCTAAATTCAAAAAAAATATCTTAAGCACCAAAGTATTTTTAACTTTTAATAATATAAAGGTTTTTTTTTTAATTTTAAGTGTCTATAAATCTTTTCGATATACAGAAATTTTTAAATTTAAATTCTTATGCATTTTTAGTATTTAGAAAATTTTTCTTTGTTAATTTTTGGATTTAAGTTGAAAATCATTTTTCTATTTTTAGCTTAAAAATTTTAATTTATTTTTAATTTTATTACAAAAATTTATTAATTTATTTGTTTTCTTTTTTCTTTTTTATTATTTTTTTTTCATTTATTTTGTGGTTCAATACTCTGATTTTAAATATAAATCAAAATACCTTATTTATTACTTCTTTAAAACTATTTTTTTTTTGTTTATTTTATCATTAATACAAAAATTAAAAAATTATAATAATTAAACAAATCAAACATAATTAAATACCAATAATATAATTACATGTTCTTGTTAACAATACAATCAAAAAAAAATTAATTAAAACACAATCAAAAAATTCATATAAAATCAAAAAATCATGCTAAAAAAAAAAAATTATTCAAAAAAATAATTTAAAAATAAAAATATAATATTGTAAAATAATAAATCAAAATAAAACTAAAAAAATAACAATAAATTATTATAAAATATAAAAAATTATATTCGCCACACCACGCATATGTGTGTTGAAATTATGTCATATTTGGCAAAATGCCACGCAATGTGCATTTAAAATGACAACCTTTATATGAATGAAAAACAAAAATATTTAATAGCTTTTCGAAGAAGATATTACTCAATTGAAACGCAAATTATCAATGAAATCAAGAAGAATGAGTCGTATCACAGAATTAGCACTGGTAACCACTAGTTTCTGGACAAAACAATGTTTCAATTTTAAGAGACGAGTGAAAGATCCATTTATATTATTTTTCGTTTTTTATAATAACTTTTTTTTTTTTTTTTTTTTTTTCAATTTTTGTTTGTGAAATTAGAACTAAATTTAAATAAAACCAAAATCTCATATTTGTTTTTTCTTCTGATATATACCTACCTACATACATATATATGTATTTACCTATACAATTTCATACATAATTTACATTTTGTTTTTGATAATTTTTGTTTTCTTCCTTTTAATTTTTGAGATTATTTAAATAATAGATGTTTTCATAAATACGTTTAATTTTAAAATGATTATTGAAAATTATTTTCATAAATGTTATTAATAATATTTTTTATGTATAAAAAGTATAAAATTTTTTTTTAATTGTCAAATTATTGTAATTGACAGATCATTTGATCGACAATATCAATTAAAATCTCACACATTGTTTTTGACATTTTGTTAAAAAAATTCACAAAAACTATAAATTCGTATTTTTGAAAACTTCTATGTCTCTTGTTTAATTAAATTGAATAGATCATTTTTAATTTGTTAATTTAATTTTTTGATTTATACATTTTTGTATTTAAAATTAAAATTTTTAAAATAGTTCTATACTTTCAATAAAAAAAAAATATATTCATTTGATTTTCATTTAAATCAGTTTTAATTTCATTTTGTTTTTTCTCTTAATGTTAATTTTTATACGTATACATAGAGAATGTCTTTTAACTCGTTTCTTCATTTTATTTATTTTGAAATTGAAAATTAAAAGTCTATCAAAAAAATTTTAAATTCTTATATAAAAATAAAAAAAAAAATATTATTTAAATTGTCTTTTGTCTTGTGTCTCGTCTTATTTTGAATGCTTAAATAATAAAAATTGATTGAATATTAATAACTAATAAAATAATTAACATTAATATTTTGATTTTGATGACATTTAACACATACTAAATTTTAATTGATATGCAACATTTACAGTTAAGAAAGTGATTTATTATTGTTATGATTGTTAAAATGGAAATAATCTAAAAAATAAGAAAATATTTGAATTATAATAATAACAATGAAATATTTTATTAATAAATAAAAAAAAAAAATTAGTTGAAATTTAATTTGAAATGAAAAAAAAAAACAAGCATGATTTTTAATATTTATTAACACAAAAAAAAATATTTTGATATTTTTGATTTATTATTTAAACATATTTTAACACTAACATACTAACTTTCAATTTTCTATTTTTAATTTGTCTTTCTAAACTTGATTGAAAGAAAATAGCTTCCTTTTATAAACTTATTTATAATAATATGAGAGTTTTCTTTCTTAAATTTGCAATATTTTAATAGTAATTAAAAATAATTAAAAATGTTTAAGAGTTTTTCATATGCTTAGAAAATTCAGAAATATTTTTTTTTAAAAAATTTAAAATTTTGAAAATTTTGTTTGTTATAAAAAGCGAATCTATAATTGAAAAATTATTCATAATTTGTATCTTTTCTAATTCCAAAAATAATAATATATTGCATTTAATATATTGAATTTCTATATTTTGATATTGTGAACAACAAATTCAAAATAATTATTCGATAAAATTTTCGATATTTTTCTCAAAATATAGAATTTTCCCCAATTAATTACTTGTAAAACTAAATCAAGTTGTCCATATTTTAAAAATTTTTTATATATTTTTTTTTATTGCGTTCATGTTTTCATTATTTCCATTAGAAAATACAATTTTATTGTTAAATTGTAGCTATCTATTTCTCTAATAAAAAATATGCGATATTATGACATAAGTCATAATTGTAAACATGTCGCGATTGTCGCTGTCAAAATTTGTTTTTTTATTACAAAGTGATATTTGTCTTGCATAAAAATCTCTTTGTAGGAACGTGACTGTCACAAAAAAACTTCTTGTTTTTTATAGTAGATTTTGTAGAATATTAACTTGATTTATTTAGTAATAATGTTTTAATATCTCAATAAATCAATTTGACATCTGTATTATTGGTAGATGTCCTTAAATTGAAATTGTATATTAAAGTTAAATTTTATTAAAAAAGTGTTCTTATATTTTTCTTAAGTAAATATTTATAATCGTGTAATCTTTTCTTAAACGTAGCGTGAGTGAATATTGTCTACTTAGATTATTGTTGCAAACAAAGAGTTTTTTTGTCAATCTCAATTTGAATACTATTTTGTGCTTTTTTTTTAAGTATTTTCTACGTTATTTTTCTTAGTATTTTTGAGTTGCATATTGCAAAAATACGATTTTTAAATTCAATTCTGGTTAGGTATGGGTAGCGGAGTTCTCCGTGCTCATATATTTTTGTATAAAAATTTGAGTTGAATATATAAAAATAGCATCATTGCAACTTTATCTATTTATTACAATTCAATAATTAACATTATTTTAAGTTGAATTGTGAAGTAAAATATTATTTTTGTAAATTGAATGTAAGGGATAATTTTTGTAAAGTTGTCAAACCTACATTGATAATATAAAGTTTTTGGGGATTTTTAGTGTAGACTAAAATTTTTTTTTTTATTTTATTTAATTAAATTATAAATTAATAATATTTTAATTTTTAATTATTAGTTCAAAATTATTATAAAAATGGCGAATGAATTTTATTAACTTTGTTTTTTTTTTTATTTTTTAAAATTAATAAACATCATTTTATATAGGATATACATATGGGTGAAATACAACGTTTTACAAAATGTGTTACAAATATTACAAATCTAATAAAATTTGGTGTTCTTAAAAGTGATGAGCCAGTGAGTAAATTAAAAACTTCATGCACATACTACTTATATATACTTATACTATTAGAAAAATCAATTTAAATTCTAATTTATATTAAAAATTAGATTTTTAAATAAAAAGATTTTCTCATTTAATAAAATTTAGTTGTCTTTTTTTATATATATTTATATAATGTTGGTAAAAGGATTCGCTTTTTATTTAAAAAAAAAAAAAAATAAAAACATCCGTGCACTTACTTATAATTTTTTTTTTATTTTAAATGTGCACGCTAAGTAGCAGCAGCAATATACTTAACTGTATTGTATATAAAAGTTTATTGCTTCTTGGATATTATTTAATTATACATTATATAAAATAGATGTTTTAATATTGCAAAAAAAAAATTATTTTTGTTTAAATTTATTTAAAAAAAAAATCTTAGATTTCAAATTAATACGGTATATTTAATTTGAATTCAGCAATGAAGCTTATTTCTAACTATCGAATCACTAAGTCATAGTGATATTGATCGTAAATTTTTCTAAAACTTTATTTCAGACACGAACATTTTGTATTGGTTTGTGTTTCCAATAATAATATCGAACTTTTTACGATAATTATCACTATTAGTGGTTCGATATTCAGAATAAGTTTCCAATATTCATATTTAAGTTAAAGTAGACAAAAATTGAACTGAATCAGTAGTATTAGCTGAATTGATTTCAATTAAAATCTCAAACATCTGAATTCTAAGCTCAATTGAATTTAAGGGTCACATTACCGTATTTTTGAATTTAAGAAATTTAATTTTTTAAATAAGTTAGCAATAGTTAAAAATAAGCATCTTCTTGATTACAAATTTATTAATTTTATGTTATTTTGATTGATGTGCCAACGGTATGTAATTGAATTTAATATAGCTGATGACTCATTAAATTTTTTTTTTAATTTAAAATTCGAGTTCCTAACTCCTAAATTTGTATATGATTCTTGCTATACGGCAATAAAATATATTTCTGAATTTTCGAATTTATTAAAATAAAAATAATTAATTTAAAATATTTTTTTTTTTAAATTGTGAGAATTATTTACAATATTTCGAATTTCCCTTATTTATTTTCATATGCAATTTATTCTTATTAAAATTTTGATTTTTAATTATTTATGAATATTTTTCACTTATTTATTATAATTTTATTAAACTTCTAGAATGTAAAAAAAAAAAGTGCAGAAAATTTGAAAAATTTTTCTTAAATTTATATTTACTCTTCTTTTTATTAAAATTTGGTTGTACTCTAAAAATTTTTCAGTCTACTTCTTAGCATTCATTGCTTGAGGTATGTTTTTTTCTTTTATTTTTAATAAAATGCTTTAAAAGCACTGAAATAATGAATAAAATTCAATTAAAAGGTAGAAATTTTTAAAAATTTTTTATTCTCTGTGCAAGCAAAAAAAAAAAACTAATTCGTATATTATAAGCCTTTTCATAAACGCAATATATAGCGATATATAGTGAAAACTGTACTTTATTCATGTTTATAAACAAATGTTGCTATTTGGTTTTGCAAAATTCTCGCAATAAAGCGAAATTAGTTTGAGTAACGCAGTTAAATCAGTTGAATTATGTTTTAATTTTATAGAATATAGTTGAAAATATATGCAACGCGTTGTTATTTTCCCAGAACATCATTAATCTGACGAATATCAGACAACTGTCAATCACATTAATCATTTTTATTTGCAAATTACAGTCGTATGCAAATAAAAAAACCGTTTTTAACTGATGTTTTATAAATTGTAAACAAAAATCTCATTTTTTCTTACTTGTTTTTTCTTTTCTATATCCAAATCATTTATTTATAATTAATTTTTGCAAATGCAATAACAAATAAAAAAATGCAAAAAAAATAATAATCAAAAAATGACAATAACTTGCGTTAGCAACTAAAACTGAAATGTATGACGTTAGCATCAAAAATTATTGGAATTCAAATTGCAGTATTGCGTTTACGAAAATCTCTTATATATTCTTACTTGTAATGTTTTATTTAATGTTTTTTTTTCTGTTCTTTTGATTTTATAATTACTTATTGACAATAATATGTTAGAATACTACTTGAAGCACTTAGAGAAAATATCGAAATTTATTTTTGTCAAAATTATTTATAATTTTTAATTAAATATTTGCTTACTTCTAATGTAAGAAAAATTATTGTTTTTTACATTAAGTAAATGCTATTTTTTGAATTTTTTTTTGGCTATATTTTAAAATTAATTATTTTTTTTTCTATTTTATAATTTTACTATCATTCTCAAGTAAATGTTTACAAGACCAAATATACTATGCATTTCATATAAACGTACCATGAAACGTATGTAAAATATTCAAAATTTCCATAATGTATACATACAGTTAAAGTTCAGAATATGCTAAATTTTTTATTTATAATATAAAAACAAATTCATTCAATTATTTCGAAACGGTTGGTTCTTCTATAAATGAAAATCATAAAAATTCAAATATGAAATATTGTGATAAAGCAAATTAATATTATGCACAGAATGCAGATTATCTGCATATAAAAATTAAATAAAATAAATATGACGTATACATGATTGACATAAAACATAATTTTTATTTGACATTTAAAATGTTAAACTTTGAATGACAGTAAAAACTTAATCGAGATTTTATTTTAATTTAACATTTAAGAATTTATAAGTTAAGAAAGGGCTAAAAAATCTTTAATTATTTAGAATTAATATTAGTATGAGGAATATTTTTTTAAAATATTTTATATTAATAATGTTAAAAATTCCATTAATTCATTTCTTCTTTAAATATTTCAAAATGAACAGAATCATATTCATTATATATTATAATACTGTCAAAAATATCCAACTTCGTATTACATTTCTTCTTCTATATACTTTTACATATTTTCAAAAATCTTGTTTATTTCATTAAGATATTCAAATATAATATGAAAAATGCTTGCTATTTTATTATATAATTAATTTTAAAATGAAATTATTTTAAAATTTTAAAAATTATATTTTTAGTATTAAAATTATCTTATGTTTTTTGTCTGCTTTTTGTGCTTTCTATATCTTTTAATTCTTTTTATTGTTTTCTATGTAAATATATTTTCTATTGTAAATTTATGCTGAGATATGATTTTTAAATTTATTAATTTAAATTATTTTATTTATTTTCATATCTCATCATTTTTTACATTTTGTTATATTTGTATAGAAATTCTGGATTGAATGAATTATGATTACAATTTGTGTGTTGTTTTTTGTTTATTTTTTTTTTACTTAATTGTTTTTTATATGTTGTCTTGTTATTGTTGAAATTGTTATATATGTTTTTATTTTTTTCAAAAAAATAATATTTTTTTTTATTTTATTTTTCTTTTATTTTCAATAATAGCTCCGTAAACAAAGTCGCTTTAATGCACGGAAAAAGTTCCAATTCGCTATTATGGTTGTAAGAGCGATGATAAGAATAAAAAGATTACGTTATACTGCTGAACCTTTAAGAGCTGAAGATGCTATAAGAGATCCATATCGTGTTAAAATACTTAGAAAGGTAATAATAAATTTTATAATATACATAAATTTTATACAAATTGATTATAATACTTTATTTTTTTAATTATTTTTTTAGGTAATTGATGGTTGTGCCTTCCGTGTATATGGTCATTGGGTTAAGAAAGGTGAAGGACAAAATAGAGCAGCACTTTTCGAGAATACACCACGTACAGAACTTCATGCTATTTATTTAAAAAAGTTACAAAGTCGGTAATTCGACTTTTAAGTTTTTTTTAAATTAAAGAAATTAAAAGAAATTATTACTACCTTAGAGTAAAAAAAATTTAAATTAAATTAAAATATAAAAATTTTTTATAAAAAAAAATAAAACATTTAATAATTTAGATATGAAATAAAACAAAAAAAAAAGAAGAAACAGAGAATTATAGAAAAAAATATATTGAAATTAATTCAGTAAATGAAAATGTAAAATTAAAAAAAAAAAAAAAATATAAAAAATTTCATATTGTAATTAAAAAAACAAAACCTATTTATCAATATTTTGTTATTATTTCTTTATTTTTATAGAAATAAATTAAAAAAAAAAAATAATTTTTTTTTGTTTATTTTTCATAATTTTAAGTAAATGTAAAAATAATAATTAAATAATTCAATGATCAGTCATTAAACTTAAATATAAAATTATGAGTAATTTTTTTTTTTAATTAATGTAGTAATTTTGTATATTCAAATTATATACATTATTAAAATCAAAACTGAAAAATTAAAATTAAATTTAAAAAAAAAATATATATCATATTTATTAGATATCAAATTTTTAATTAGCACTTAATCAAATATAATATTATTATTAATTATTATATGTATTTATAATAAAGCGATCACATTGAAGATAAATATATTTAAATATCAAACAATAAAAATATTACAATAATTTTTGTAAGGCCACGAAATAAATTTAGATTTAAAACTTAATTAGATTAATTAAATATTGAAAATAATGTGAATAAGAAATTAATTTTTAAATATAATTATTGTTGAAATTTTCAGTAAATGAAAACAATTAAATGCAGAATGAAAAAAAAACCAATAAATTTGTATTCTACATAATTACTAAATTATCCAATACAGGAAGAAGAAATGCAATATTCGTTTTATAAAAATTTTTATATTATTTATTTATAATGTATATAAAATGTATATTTTTATATACATTATAAATAATTACAAATTATTTTCCTTTTTCATTATTATGTTTATAAAATTTTTATTTCTTTATTATATTTTAATAAAGAAAATCATAACAATATTATATAATTATTAAACGATTGTTCAGCTCATTGAATTTTCTTGCACTTTGTTACAAATAATAAATTTTTCTATTAAATAAATAATATTATTTATTATAATAAAATAATATTAATATAAGTGACAAATATTATATGTGTATTATTAATTAATACTTTGTTGTATAAGTGACATACATACGTCCTTAATAATTATTTTTCAATGCTGTTTCATATTTTTTTTAATAAATATTTTATTAAACAACATTTGGAAATTATTAATTGTACCTACTCCTTGTGTTTTAAAAAAAAATTTCATTTTTTCATTTTGTGTGAAATTATTTGAATAAAAATTTCGAATACAAATATCAAAAATTATGAGCATTTTGAAGACAATAATTGTAGCCGGTTTTCTGATACAATAATTTATTTATAATCTAAATTTTATTTATAATCTAAATTTTATTTATAATCGAAATTTTTATTGTGGCCTACATATTGTTAATTAAATCATATATTTTATTTTTTTTTATTATAATAAAATTTCTTCAATAAAAGAATTGATTCGTATTAAAATATTCAATGAAAAAGTTACGAATTAGTTTTTTTTAAATATGTGATTTTGTAATAGTTTTTCCAAAAAAAAAAAAAAAACATATAAAAATGTAAAAAAAAAATTTAATAAATTTAATAGAAAAACATACTAAATTAAAAATTATAAAAAAAATAGATAAAGTAGGTGTCTCATTATTTAATTAATTTCAAAAAATATATTGTTTTTTTTTTAAATATTTTAAACAAATTTTTTCTCTTTATTTCAATTCTTTAATTTTTCACTTATCAATTTTTGATATAAATTCGCTAGAAGAATAATTTATTTTTGATTTTTGTAGATATTATTTTGCAGCTACATTCCTTTTCGTACTATCATTCAAATATGCAAGTTTATTTAATATTAAGGAATAAAACTCTAATTAAATTCAACAAATATTTTTTATACTATCAATATTCAATAAAAATTAAAAACTGATTCCAAAAAAAAAAAAAAAAATGGTTAATCTTAATTATTTTGTTCAATCTTATTAAATAATCAATTATAAAAAATTGGAAAATTATAAAATTTTCCATCCCTTTACCTTAATTTCATATATTATAAAATTAAATTTTTAATGGGACACCTATCTTTAAATATAATATTATTAGTTAAATAAAATAAATTTTAAAATTATAAATTAAAATCAATTTAAGTATTTATTTATTATAAACTTAAAATATTTTTATTCAATTAAACAACATTAAAAAATATTATTTTAAAAATTATTCTATTTTTGTTAAAATTCTTTTATTTTTTAGCATTTCAATTTTAGCAAAAATAAATAAAAGATATTTTGTAATTTTAGAATAATATTTTTTTTTAAATGAAAGCATGTTAATTGAATAATATTAATGTAGTTAAATGTTAATTTATGCCAAAATTTCCACGCTTGCCTAATTAATAGAACATTATTTTGTTTATAAATATATTGTTATTAAAAAATTAATAAAATAATATTATTTATTTTTATGATAGAATTAATATTAGAGAAACATTTATGTACGTTAAATAAATTTTTATTTTTTTTAAATTTTTGATTTATTCGCGCAATGTATGCTTGTTCATATTGTGGACTACCAACCAAATATCTAATATTATATAATTGAATTGTTTAAAATAAATAAGGAATAATTAATTTTTCATTATTATGGAAATTATAAAGTTTTCTAATGTTTATTTGTTATCTATTTAAATGATAGATAAATATAAATTAACTAAAAATATTGAAGCCGATTATTGCGAGTGTTATTTTTTCTAAAGCACTAATTTGTATGCAAGAATTTAATTTTTGATAATATTTATACAAATATATATTTACAAATTGTAGCTTCAATATTTTTAAATTGAAATTATAAATATTATTAATGGTATATATCACAAGAACACCTTCACATTTTATTAAGTTTGTCATTAATAGGTGATCGTTCTTTAAGAACTATTTTATAAAATCATTAATAAATCAAATAATTATAATTTTCATTACCTAAAAATAAATGAAAATAAATGGCGAACAGAAATTTTATATGTATAATTTAGAATTCAATAAGTTCTACATTAATCTAAAAATGTGTTTTATTTCATAATTAAAATATATTAATCATAAATAATAATTTAATTAATAATTGAAATTAATATTATAATATTAAATAGAAAAATTATATAGAATTATAATATTAAATAGAATTAATTTAAATATTATTTATTAATCATAAAAATAATATTTAAATTAATTCACTTCAAAAATATTTTTTTTTAAATTATTTTATTGAAATTCAAATTTTGGTTGGCTATTTTAAAATAAATTCAGACTTAATTAACGTACTAAATTGTATTCTTATATATTATTATAAAAATAATAATATTATTTGTTGAATGTGAAAATAAAATTATAAAATAGAAAATAATATTTTAATAATATTATATGAATAAAAATTTAATAAGCAATAAGTCAAATTATATGTGAATATAAATTCATTTGCGATATTATTTATATAAAAAGAAAAGAAACGAAATTATTTCCTATACGAATTAGAAAATTTTTTAATTTAATTGATATTTTTGAATAATCACTTATATTGTGTTAGCAGTTGATTCACTTGGGGTAATAAGATATTATTGAAAATAATTTTATTTTTCAGTATAGAATTTCGAGTTTCGGAATAGGGTTATATTAAGAACAATTTGAGATTTTTTAATAATAACTTATCACGTCAAGTGATTCGACTAACACAATATAGGTGAATGTTTTTTAATACAAAATAGTATTTTTTATTACTGTTTTTGTTTAAAATTATTGTCTATTCGATTTCAGTTAGTTGAAACTATTATTAGAAAGCAGAATAATGAAAAAAATTGGATAAAACTTTATCTTGAATTTGATTAGCTTGAAATAATGCATATTGATTTCTTTTTTTTTCACATTATAATAAAAATGTACATAATGTTAAGTTATGAGAATTTGAAATAAATTATTTAAAAGAAAAAAAATTAAAAACAGAAAAAAAAAAATATTAAGTTAATTAAAACTTATAATAAAAAAAAAAATATATAAGAAAAACCTATAAAATAGTTTTTTTTTGTTTTAAATATATTTATTTTATTTGGAGAATTAAGAAATGTTACTGTAGAATAGGTTTATCTAACATAGCTGCTATTGCAGATTTACACAAAAACTAAGTCGGAAATGAATGATTAAAAAATACCCAGAAATTTTGAAATTTTATATTTCTAATTTTATCTAATTGAGTTTTTAGATATAAACCCATTGAGTTTATGATGGTTTTTGTTATAACATTTAGAATTGCCTTGGTTTATACTTAATGGAATTATCTAGTTATATATTATAATATCAATTGTTCTGACATGGGTATATGAAAGTTTTCGATAATTCAGATATGCGCTTAAAGCTCTAACTTAAGTCTTAAAGAAATCTTTTTTTGCATCATTATAGATCTATATAGGAACCAAATAGTTTACTTTTATTACAGATTATTAATATCTTACATTTTTGTATGTGAAACTTAAAATAATTTTGCAGCATTTAAAAGAAAATCTTTAGAAATGCTTTATTCATTTTTAAATGTGCTTCTTTTGTAGAAAAGATTTTTCAAATATGCTACATTTGAAGTTTTTGGTGGTTGCAATTTATTAAACATGCCTTATATCTTAAGATTTGGAACTGAATTTTCGAAAATCCTTTATTTCTTCAACAATAAATTAATTGGGACGACTACTCTGTATTTTTTATATTCTACTTAATATTTGTACCAAGTTTTTTCATACTTTTTTGTAATTCATATTGAGGATAAGTTTTTTAACATTAAAAACTTTGTTACAATATTCTTAAAAAAACAATTCGTCGGTATTTAAATGTAGTTTTTACATTCTTTTTAATGAGTATAGTTAAAATTTTTTGATTCTGTATAAGAAAATTTGATTTTTTTTTGTTTGAAATGGAATGGCTACCAACTATTTAATTTTTAGCCTATTTAATTTTTTTTAAATCATAATTTATAGCTTTAACCTACTTTTATTGAAAATCATTAATCGTTTTTTTGTGTTTTAATTCTTTTTTTACTTTTAATTTTTTCTGTATGTAATTTTCTTTTAGTCAGTGAAATTATTTTTCCATTTCTAGACTACAATAAAATGCAATATACCATTAAAATTTCCATTGTAAATTAGACTTTATTAAATTTTACTTAAAAATAATATGAAATCAGAAATGTTCAACCTTTTTTTATTTCAAGAGTTGAGCGAATCTTATCATCAATCTTACTATCAATACTATCAAAGATATGTAGAATGGAATAATATCGGTACTTATTATACATGAATTACTTTAGTCTTTTATATTTATTTTATGATACTTGCATTGGGCCACTGTTTAACAAACCTGAACTTCAAGATAATGGTGCTTCAATTTCCCATTTGAAATGAATACAAAATACAAAATAATGCAAAAAAAAAAGAAAAATCATGCAGACATCATCACATACCGTAAAGCTCATTATTATTTTATTCATTTTTTATTTTCTAAAGTAATTTTCGCTAAATTTTCATTCTTATTTTTTTTTTTATACTCTTTTTATGTTTACCTATCTAAAAACCGCGACAAAATGCTCTTTTACTTATATGTAAGCATAGAACAACGATTACACGCAATTTGCTGTCATCATCATGATTATGCATAAATCAAAATTATA